GTAAGATTCATGCTAAATGATTAGTAAATGGAGGCAGGTGGGAGTTACTAAGGTGGCACTTCCCAAATAATCTAGAGGCGACAAGATTGTGCTTGAGATGAATCAGAGCTTTTTACTTTTTGTGCTTATTGCGTGCAGCTGTTGTACTACGTCACTCCAGTACTGTTTAGAGATCAATACGACTTGGAATAAACTTTCAAAGTGGAATTTTTGTTTCTTTGTGAGGGTTCAGCCTTTCCCGCTCCCTCCTTTGATTAACAGAAAGCGTGCTACCAGGGGGGAAATTGTCAATATTTTGCTCGTTTTGGGTAGTATACTTTGCAGTATCCTGAGATCTGCGCTCTCTCATGCCTTCCTTCCAGTGAGGCTGCAATAGCCTTGAGATTTTTTTCCTGCTTGTAAAAATGATCAGTAAATTTTAGACTTTCTCCAGTGGTCCTCTTCACGCTGAAAATGACCTCCAGATTTTCCAATAGTATTTCAGAGCATGACCTTTGATTAAACCAGTGCCGCATCTATTTGTATAGGCCTCGGTCTACCTAAAACCATGCGTTTTCCCCCTTCTGCCCTGTCATTTCTTTCCCTTCCTAACTTGAGCTCTGATTTTGTGTCAAGTGTAGGCTTTGCAGTGATTATGCTGACCTTTAATGCCTGAATTGTGCCACGCTGATGGGCTCATGAGTCTGGCATTCTCCTCTTGTCACCGTTTGGATTTTTTTTCATATAATACTTTATCTTAACCAGCCCACTGCAGCAGCTGGTTTCAATCAATCACATAAAAAGGATCTGACCCTTTTTAGTTCCAACCAGTAAGGTACAATCATACCCTGCCATGAGGGAATATACTGCTTCTCATCAGGAAAAATCATGTCTGACTTATTTTTTTTTAAGCCCTTCAATTGTGCTGCCCTTTGGGCCCCAGCTGATGTGCTCAGCTGGCTCCTGGCTTTTATAGATTCAGAAACCTGTGGTCAAACCAACTCGGGCAAGCTATGCAGCTGCAAAAGCAGCTGTGCTGGTATCCAAAGTGACATGGCAGTGGGAATGATCTTTCTCTGGGCAGTGGGACACGGGTCCAGCCAGCTGCTACCAAGTAAATACATGTGAATCTGTCTTTTTGTGTCTTTATGGAGTCAGTGCGGAGCCCAGATCCTCGTGGGATGCCTAGGAGCATCTGGGTGAGTTTGTGCTTCGTGCTGCGGCCAGGTAGACCGAGCAGCTCACCTGGGAGGTGTGAAGAGCCCCCTTCATGGCTGGATTTATGAAGCAGTAGGAGATCCTTCACGTGAGAGCACCTAAAATGAGCTGAGAGTTTGGTTTTTACGGGTGCTTGCACTGAATGTGTGAGTAGAAGTGATGGTATTTGCTTAGGCCAAAAAATATGAGTAAAAAAAAAACTGCTATGCTTTCATAGTGGACTCTATTGCAAGTGCAGGAAGGAAATGACTGCCCCAAGAAGGTCTTGCTAGTGATTCATCTCTCTGCAGCACCTCTTTATGGCAGTAATAGGTGCCTTTAGACGGAAGGCTTTGCTTGAGGTGCTGCTTTGTGAGATAAATCGGCCTAGGAACGAGGAAAGAAATGCAGAGCCAGAGGGGATTTTTGTTTTGGAGAGAATATGCAACAGCGCAAAGAAATTTTAATTTCTGCCTCCTGAGACGACAGCTTAGGAGATTTCAACGCGTTTCTGGTTGCTTGTCAAACAAGAACGTGGCCGGGGCCATAAGCTTTGGGAGGAGACGTGTGGTTACTGCAGGAGAGTCGCTGTGAGATCGATTTTGCACTGCTGCTTTCTGTACCCCGGGGAAATCCATCCATCCATCCTGGGGAGCTGTCCCCACCAAGTCCAAGTGTTGATGGGGGCTGTGGCCGCGTTCGTCCTTTCGGGAGGGCAGTGAAACCACGAAGCAAGAAGGTGTAAAAGACACATGCAAATGCGAATGGCTTCTCCTTTGGCTCCTCTCACCTGACCCGTGACTCACTGGAGGTGCTGGGCAGATTTAACTGGCAGCGTGACTCATCGCTGGGCTCCAAGGGCCGAGCACCTCTGCGTCTCCTCTGAGCCAGGATGTGACTATTCATGGGCAGATGAAGCCAAAAGAGATGCAGCAAGTGGCAAAAAGACCCCCTAGGCTCTGCACCCACTGTGCGTGCAGCTCCTTGGACTATGACATGAAGTCTGGTTTCTCTCGCTGTATTTAAAAATGCAGAGAAGCAGCTTTATTTATATTACACATTTTGTGGAAAGATCCTTGTGAGGAGGCCTGGTCGCTCCATGCTCAGACCGTTGCTGCTGCTGGAGCAGTGCAGTGGGTGCAGAACCCACACAGCTGCTTGGAAGTTGTCCCCAGCGCAGAGGATTTAGGAATTCGTCATCTAGTGGTCATGCAGGTTGCTCTAAGCAAGCCCTAATTCTGCTTTTCAAAGGGGAAGAATAACCCTGCTTGTAAAAGCTCCCTCTTTATTGCCAAATTTGGTTTGAATTCCCCAAAATAAGACTCGAGTAGGTTTCTGCAGGTAAATTAAGTCCTGTCTTACTGCTGCTATGGCTGTTAGTTTAACATGAGGGCACAGACATGAAATGAAATTACCCACAGTGACGAGTGATGCTGTTGCACTTGTCCCCACAGGTGTGTTTTGCTGGCCCCGTTTGTGAGAAATCCTGGCCTGCCTGAATCTCAAGACTTAAGCAAACATGCTTGACCTTGCAGTTAGTACAGCCTAAGAAGATGCTTTTATCCCATTCAGCTCGGTGAGGAGCTGCTTCCACTAATTTATCCTAATTGTGTTTTTTAGCTCCTAAATGTCCCTCTGCAGTGAAGGTGACAGGGGCTTGGGCTCGGGCTCGCCAGCTCCAGTGACTGACACTGGAGCAATTTAAGAGGTTGCTGCTGCCCTTCAGCTACCCTGACCCTCTGCTTGACGTTACGGGTTTCCAAAACGGGGCAAAACGGTTGTCCACCCTTTTGCTGCCAAAGTGTGTGGGGCGGCGGGAACGTGGGATTGAAATTGGGTAGGGATTTTGGAGGATATGAGGCCAAGCTGTGAAATTCCTCCACTGCAAATTCCCGGGATGAGGTAGTCAGCTCTCACCTCCTGAGCTGCCGTAACGAGGAGGTATTTTGACAGGTGAGCTCTTCTAGCTCTCGCACAGGCCACTGTAATTGCCAGTTTAAGCTACTGTTTTCACTATAATTTGGGTATCTGAGGTGTGGGTGCTTCTCCTGTGCGCAGAGGAGCTGCTGGCAGGGAAAGGAGGGAATAGCAGGAGGCGGCGGAGTTGCCGATTGCTGCGGCCGCATCCGTCAGCGCTCGCCTGGCAGATCCCGTGGGACAGCTCATGGGCAGCGACTTCCCTCTCCTCTGTGCCAGCTGGGAGCTAACTGGCTGTTGTTCTGGTGCCAGATCATTTACAGCAGAGGTTCTGCTCACATTTCCTTTTATTTCCAGAGATTTGGAGACTCGTCCTTAA